AGTTATGAGCACCCCCCTAGGAGGCTGTCTGAAGCCCCTGGTAAGAAGTATTCTGATTTTCCTGTTCTCATTGTCCGGGCTGCCTGCAGATATTTGCACACATCTTGAACACAGTCTTCTCAACTCATTGTCCAAGTAGCAAGCTGTACCCTAAGAGGCAATAGAACATTCCTAGTTTGTTTTGTTTTGTTTTTTTTAATCACTCCTATAAAAATGGTTGGAACATACAGCCATTCACCACTGCAGGTATGAAAGTGCCACCAAGAGCTAAAGCAAGTGATGCTCCTGAATACCTTTCACTTACGTAACTCCCTATTAATTCCAGTGATAACTCAGGCAGCTGAACTCCCTGAAAACTCTAGGGAGTATTTCTTGGCAGACCCAGTATCAAGTATTCAGTCTTATTTTTCAGTGCACTTCAGAAAGTGCATCAGAAACTTTATAGAGGCTCTCAAAAAAAAACATGAAGTAGCCAGAGGTTGTGCCTCCAAGTATTTTAAATTTTAATTAATTTATTAAAAAAAAAAAAAAAAAAAAAAAATCAGAAAAAAACAGGCATTGAAAAAGATCTGAAATTAAGAACTCCTGGGCTCAAAAAAGCCACAAGATCTGAGTTGTAGGTGTTATATTTGGAGAGAAAGACAGCTGTGAAGAGGAAAAACAGCATATGTGCATTTGTTTGTCTTAACACAAAGCAGGAGACACAGTGCATTAATAGAAAAGGGCTCTTCCTTCTCTCCTTTTCCAACTTTGATGTTTGTTCTTTGGGTGCTCTCCTAATGGTTCAAACCCCAGTGACATCTGTCTCCTTCTCTGCCTGAGCTGGAGCTGCAGCATCTCAGAGCTCTGCCACAGTGAAAGATCTGCACTGATGTCTGGTTGTACATCCAGACTCCAGGACACAGACTCTACTGGTAACACTTTGTAGGGCCCATCACCCTTTTATTTGGTCTACAGTGTTAAGGATTTTCAGCTACACTGTCAGTGTTCTGACTAGTAACCCTACAGAGCTAGCATTGCATGAGGAAGAGCAGTTGTAGTATCTCACTTTGAGACAAAAATCTTCCTAATCTGCATATGGTTTGAATAATACTGTGAGGATAAAGCAGCCATGAAATAGGTCTATTACTACTGCTTTTAATACTGCTCCTGTCAAGAAATAAAGTAGTCCTTCATAGTGTTTTTTCCCCTGGAGATCCAATTCTAGCAGTGAAAATGAGTGTGTGTGTGTGGGGGGGGGGGGGGGGAAACACCAAAAAAAAACCAAAAACAGTGATTCAACCAGTGCAGGATCTGACATTAGAAAAATAATGTCACGTAAAATAATGAGAGCGTAAGGTTTATGACTGCTTATTTGGTGGGGCTGGGGTTATCCAATGGGAGAAATACTACCAAAGTCCAGTGAGATATGGTTACCAGGCAGGAATCCCAGGAGATTCTGTTACCATGCAGGAATCCCATGAGACAGTATTATCAAGCAGGAATCTGTAGTATTCAGTTCACCACCAGGCAGTAATATTAGATTTTTAGAATTAAATCCAGCAGTATCTTGTTTTATAAGAGTTGGCACATAAGGAATAGAGAAAAATGCAATGGAAGAAAGATGTCTCCTTGGAATCTGAACTGGAAGCCCCAGTCATTATACCGATTCCTAGAAATAAAGCATCACAGATTCTTATGATCATGAGATATCTTTGACTAAACATGACATCAATCACTTATTAGATGAAAAGATCGGTTAAAATATTTTTACAAGTACAGATTTGCTCACTGAAGTGTTGAGGCATGAATGCTATTGTGACTACATTTTTTTTTTTTTTGTGTAATCTTTTGATTTTCTGATTTATAATGGAGTTTGCTGATACCACAAGAGGTACTACTTTATACATGTGTAACAGAAGAAAACAAAATGCATTTTCTTCATTATCTTTTTTGTAGTACCTGTATCACTGGAGGATTTGGCAAGATATGACAAGACACTGATTCCAGAAGACATAGTTTAATCTCAGCCCCACTATAGAGATTGGCCACTACACTTGCAAGCCTGAGAGCCATTTGCCAGAGACGGAGAAAAGCTGAGAAACTACCTAGCAACCCAAAGGAAGAAACAAAGGCTCCTATTCCCATTTGGTCACAACAGATTATTCTGAATGCTCATCTTTTAATTGCAACATTTTCCTTCCTCTATCACAATACAGCTTTATCAGTGTTTAGTCCAGTATATACTCTGATCAAGCACAAAAACCCCTCAACAGTCAGAAATCTACCAGAGCAGCTCAACTCTCCCACATTTATCAGAGTGAAGGGGAAGGCAAGAAAACCAAGGACTTTAGGTGAGAAGTGAGACAGGAGAAATGGAAAACCATTGGGAAAAAAAGCAAACAAACAAAACCACAACACACACTGATAAACTATGCTAGGAAACTTACAAGATAAACCACTGGGGTGCCCAGCAGAGGCACAAGGGTCAAGACTGCATGGAAGAGAACACAGAGACCCTGCAGATGCTATTGCTACTTGGGTACAGCCCTCAGTGAGACACAGCCTCCGAAGTCATGTCTTTCTGGACAAACTGGCAGCAGAGGTGTCACCCGTGGGACAGAGCCAGGTATTCCCATTGCTTTTCAAAGCTGCGGAAGGACTTGTCTCTGGTATTTAGATGTGATTACAGCTGAAGAGAAAGAAAAGGAGGTGACAGGAAGGAATATAAAACTCAAGAGGCATTAGCCTGTTTGCTGTGTTTGAGAAGACATTTGCTTGAGTGCTTGTGAACAAGAAAGTAGGCACAGCTGAATAGCAGGCTTAAGGAAAGTCAGTTTAGCTTCAGAAGAGGATGTACGTACACTGATCAGATCTTAACCCTAAAAGACATAACCAAACAATTGTGCGAACATGGAAGACTTCTGAATGTGCTAAGTGGACCATCAGAAAACATAACACCTGTAGCAGGGATATTGGTGACACAGAGGTACTGGAAAGATTTCAGAGAAAGATTACTGATAATGTCAGATGGAAAGGTTCCCAAACCTACACAGAGAGATGCAAATCACAACCACAGTGCTTTTGTGATAAAGATTTCATCTCGGCAGGTAATGGCATGGGACCATTAGCTTACAGACCACAGCTAACCCAGCAGCTCTCAAGTGCTAATGGCTTGCAGCACTGGTAACAGTCTTGAGGCAGCTAGATCCCTGAGGTCTCCCCTCTATACATCTCTCTACGCACTCCTTTTGCTCGCATCATGACACTTATCTCCACTCAGGAGACTAGAAAAATGCATTTTAAAGCAAACACCATTTGGGAAAAATACTCTGCTTTGGCATTCATTTGTTGTGAACAATGACGAGTTTCACATGAAAATTGTTAAATGACCACTTGGAAGGATTCAAAACGTTCATATGTTCTATGCCAACAGGACAAGCTAAAAGCCAATGGCTGATCTCACAGGTCTGAAGATGTCAGAGAAATCTCCAGTCTGTAGAAACCACTGACGTTTCACAAAGTTGGTTTCCTCCTGTTTAGTTAAATGCCTTTCTGTTAACACAAAATGCTTCTAAAAGTTTTGTCTTGTATTGCAAAGCAATCACTCATCTTTTCACTTGCTCTCACAGTCTTTCAGAAATACATGCTGCTTTATCAGTCACCCCATCAGCATCTCCTTTACTAACAAATGAGCACACAATATAGACTTTCAAAAATTTGGCTGCAGAGCTACTCATTTTAGTGACAGGGAAACGTTTACTGCAGCATGACTTGCTGAAATCAGGTGGAGTCACAAAGCAGCCAATGCAACAAGTCATAAGATTGAGACTTAGAGCAGAAATCTGGTCATGAATTTGGTTTGGGATTTATTGCTCAGCAACTTGCAGCACAGCTCATCAACAGCTGGCTCTCTAGCCAAAACATACTGGCAAACAGAGAAAAATTGTCATAGTAACAGCATTACAGTGCATACTGCAATGGCACTCCAGCCTGCTAAGGGAATTCCTAAGTGGTACCATAGTAAAAATTATGACTAATAATAACCAGTAGTAGTAACTATTGCTGCTACTAATAATAGCAAAAATTATATTTATAGTATAACAACAGCTAGATATATTTAGCTAGTATTTGGTGATTCCAAACTGAAGTTAAACACGTCTGGCCTGCTTCTTACAAGCCCTCTGCTGAGGAATTGCAGACCCTCCAGCAGTACTGAGTTAATCCGTGAGCAAAGGCGTTGCTTCAGTTCCTCTTTATATCTAATGGAACTACTTTTCCTTTATCTGTAGCCATCACAGAAGCTTGAATAACATATAACCATGTGTAGCTTTGTCATAAATGCATGTGGATTTGGCCAAAACTAAAACAACAAGAGGCCAACTCACCAGAACATGAAGCAAAATTTGTCAATTTCAGGCAATTCCTTTCCCAAGCCTCCATGCACCTCCTATTTAGTCACTTTATCCTGGATTGGCTCCTCTTTCCTGTTGTGCTTTCAGACCATTCTATGAACCACAAAAACTTTGAGAAGTTTTTCCCTTTTGTGGGAACTTCTCATTGCCCTATCCCAATTCCCACTGTGACAAAAGAGGTAAAGTGCCCTCTAAAGGAACAGTACTATGGCAAGGCACTATGCACAAACTACTGCAGCGCCAGAAGGGAAAAATTCTCTAAAACACGTTGTCATCATCATCAAATCTTGTTCCTACAAATTTGGGGGCTCACTCTGCAACCTGTGTTCACACTGACATGAAGGCTCTACAACGCATGAGAATCGCTTGCAGGCCATCCTTCAGGCTTGGTAAAAAAAATAACAGCAACTTGCTACTGTTAACTAGTAAAGTATAACTTCATACAATATTTGTTGATGAGTTATGCATTTGCATCAAAACTGGGAGTACCTTCCTTTGCTTTTTCCATAATTTTCCTGTTGCAGAGTAAGCAAATTTCCTTAACAAAAGGGAGAAAACAAGAAACAGCTTGAACCATGTAAAAACTTAACACAGAAGAACACTTACCAGCTCGATTCTTCTCACTACATCCCCTTGCCTTTGTAGTGGCCCCGGATAAATCCCTTCCTCAGCCAACACAAGGAAGAAATGAAAAATTTTAGATGAAAAGAGGAGATCTGACTGCAGGTGTAATATATCTGCTAATTGCAACACATTCACTACAGGTGATACTGCTTACCTCTTCAATGAGTGATAGCAAGACCTGCCAGTATCAACAAATAACGTTCTCATTAAACCATTTTGGTTGTGGGCCAGCGAGGGTGGGGGAGATAAAGGATTTCCAGTCATACAAACAGGGTAGCTCTGAGGTCTCCTTGGCTCTTACTCCTTCTGATACCTTTGTCTTTAGATTACATGATTTTGCACAGGGTCACAGTTTGGCACTCCCTAAAAAAGGTTTCTGAGAGTGGTTTGATCTACCTACTTTACATAGGATAGTCAGCACCAAAAACATCTGTCTTTTCTGGACTCTCCTCATGAATAAAAGCCACATGATTTATCTCACGTATCTCATCCTTCCAAGAGTGGCTCTTCTGTGACATGCTGCTCCAGTCCCTATATGCCATGTTGTAGCATCTTGACCAGTTTCAGCTCTCCTCTTTCCGTGGCCACACTTCTTTGATTGAAGACAACATAGCATTTCCTCTTCTCTTCTCAAAACCACCATATAAACAGATATCATTCACCCAGGCTGTTGCTTTGCCAGCACTGGCCAAAAAGACAAAAGGAAAAAGACCTGACTGCAGTAATTTGAAATTACAGCTTCAAAAACTATCGATCACTAGCAGCTACCCGAGCAAGTCAGCCAGCAGCTTATTGTGTTTGCTGTTTGTCCTCCTTGTGGTTTGATTGTAATTGAAGTCCTCGACAAATTTCTGTCAGAAAAAATAATAATTTTAGTGATGATAAGTATTGTTGTTATACATTGTAGTTGTTGTATTTTGTCTAACAACTCACATGCACACCCTTCATTCTCATTAAGGCCAATAATAATGTACATGGAGAGTTAAATCAACATAATCATTCTGAATGGGTGTGCACTGGACACAGTGTTGTAGGCAATAGAAATTACATTTTGCAGTAAAGAGTATTTCATCTTCATTAAGTTCCTTTGTTTTCCAATGCAATAAACAGTCACATGGGCTCCAATGCTTTTTATTTTTCTGAGTTTCTGCATTTGAACTTCAAGTGATGAGTAGCTTCCCTGTATGCTGGCCCAACGATGGAGTGAAACATAGATTTGCTAGTTAAAAACTGAAAGAAGAGGGGAGAAAATCCCAGATTGACTTTGAAAGGACTGTTTTAAATGACAGAATTGTTTTTCATCAAATACTTTTACACAAATTTGTTTTTTATCCTATGAAAGCAAATGAATATTGTGAAAACTCTAGATCATTCTGTATGTCATTTGAGAACTAGGAAATGTCATTAATATAGCCAGAAACATATGTTATTCCTGCTATCCAGTGTTTCACAGTTCCACAGAAAGGCTGAATTTTGTGGATGTACACCAAAAGCCCAAAATGGAGGCTTTTGATTTTCCTGGTTCTTTACATACTAAGTAAATTGTGTGCAGCCTGTCCCATGTGGGTCAACTGGAGCTCTGCTGCGTTCCTTTTGTGGTGGAGGGTGTGCTTCAGTGGTTATTATAAGACTGTAAGACTTTGGGGTTCGCAGGGCTTTTTCTGGACGTGTCTCTAACTGAGTGGAATATTTTGTGACTGTATATAGCATGTGGCAAATAGCATAGCAGTGACTGCACGGCACTGTCTGAATTCCCTGGGCAGGGAGTTTTCATTATGTATCATTCTCATCCTTCTGTTCTGATTCCAACAACTCACATGCACATCCTTCATTCCCATTAAGTCCAATAGTAATGTACACAGAAATTTAAATCAATGTAATCATTCTGAATGGGCGTGCACAGAACATAACCTCAGTATCTCTAGTAGGGACCAGACTTTCTGTAGGCTCCTTTTCTTTTATTTTTTCTTCCAGCATCTCAGGCAACTGCATGGAAATGACTGAGACTAAATTTCAGTCGGTGTTTTTCATGCATTAGCTCACCCAGTATTGCAACTGGATCACAATAAAGTCAAAATGAGATAACTGTGGGACTTGTTCTGCTTGCACGTGACAGCTAACAGTTTTTAGATGACCACAGTATTACACTCAGTGTTTGCAGGATATATGTATTTGGGAAGGAGACTTGACTTGGCTCTAAGCTTCTTCCAATCCTTCCATGAAGGGAATCATAGAATCATAGAATGGTTTGGGTTGGAAGGGACTTTTAAGATCATCTAATTCTAGCCCCCTGCTATAGGCAGGGATATCTCCGTCTAGACCAGATTGTTCACAGCCCCATCCAGCCAGGCCTTGAATGCTTTCAGGGTGGAGGCATCCACAGCCCCTTTGGGCAACCTGTTCAGTGTCTCAATCAAAGGTTAGTGCTGTGAAATGATCAATATCAAAGTCTGTGTGTAACTCATTCTACACTTTAAAATAAAAAAGTACAACATACTAAATAGGGCAAGTTTCTAAGCTAATTGCTTGGAGATCTGTTCCCACTAAGTGCATAAGAAGCTTACATTCTCTTTTTCCAAACATAAGTATATTTTAAAATAGAAGAAAAATTGTAAGCTCATATCATAAAACTTCATAAACTCATACCATAATAATCATAAATTCATTGCTGAGGGCTAAGGAGATGGTGCAGCTTCACCAAACTTGACTTTGAGTCCAGTTCTGTTCCTTCCTTCACCTACAGGAACAAAAGTTGACTCTGTGAGACACGTGCTCTTAGAGCAGCCCTATCCCACTAGGAACCATTCGAAAGAAGATAAGTAATCACTCTCTTTCATTTGCTTGTGGAATTTTTTATTTTGGTTGCTTTGTTGGTTGGTTGGTGGGTTTTTTTTTGCTTGTTTGTTGTTTTTGTTTTTTAAAATGAGTATCTGTTAGTTTCTGTAATGCTGATGTTACTGTAGCTCTTGTGAGAAAGATGAAATGAAGTGAGAAGACAGACAGGAGACAGAGGTAAAATTAAAATGATCCACTAGTATGAAGTTGCTCTCAGCCTTGAAGGACAAACAGGAATTAAATGATTAAGTCAAAATTCATGCAATGTACTATGCCATCTCTGCAGGTTTCTTGATGTCAAATGGATCTTTCTGGGCAAGGATTGTGCACCAACACTTAGTCACGTCTTGTACGATCCAAACTGAGAGTGAGAACTGGCTCCCATTGTGATTTATAAGGACTGCTATTAAGCAGCATAAAGAGAGTGTATCACAATGACTGACACATCTGTTGACAGGTAACCTATTCTACAAGTTTCATGCTTCTTAGCTGTATATCTGTCTTCTTAGCCAACTTTCTTTCCAAATGCCTTGAGGAGAAAGAAGTTACATATTATATTATTATAATTGCTGCCACTGTCTTCATGCAACACAGAATTTGGTGGGTAACCTCAAGGCTGGTTGGTCTTCATATTGTAGGGCCGTTATCTGTGTATTTTATATTGACGTTTCCCTTTCAAACTCTTACCCAGTAAATAAAACTGTTGTTTTTATTTGTCCTGTGCCTCCGGCCTGCGTTTTCAGGGAGTTATGTAGTGCTTAACTGGATAATTTCAGTAAGCTGTTAAACTATTTTCTCTTGGCTGTTCTCAGAGTCTTCTGTCTGTCAGTGTGCAAAGCAAAATTTTAGTCATGATCAGTGTTGGTCATTAGGAAGGAGGAGTATTTACAGGGGTTTCAGGACATCTGTGTTTTAGCCCTGCCCCCCCCACAGCCCTTAAGGGAGCACAGTCTGGAGCTCAATCAAACCAAAGGAGCCCAGCTGCAAGCTGTACTGTCCTCAAGCGCCAAGTTAATGTCATGGGTTCTTTACAGTGTGCCATGTCAGGAAAGCCACTTGCTTAGACCAGCCTTTCAGAACCTCTACCACAGCAGTTCAACAGCCCAGACAGACCACACAGATCTTAAACAACCTCTGTGATCTATTTCCCCTCTGCCACCCCAGATGTAGGTGAAGGCATCTGATCTGGTGCAACAGAGGGCAATGGGATGGAAAGGAGGGCGGTAAAACTAAGCTCACAGAGGTATTTTGAGGGTATGGCCACCCACCTTAGAGAGAACTCAGATCTTGCAGTGATGAACACCGTGAAAAATCCAGGAATAAATAAGGAAAAGAGACATCCATTTGTTTCATGGTTGTGATGCTAAAGGTCAACTGGAAAAGTTACTCCCCTACATGCTCAGAGAGGTTATGGATTGTACAGCTATGTCCATATATGTTCTGACAGATTTTAAGTGTTGCTTTGCTGGGAAGTTTTAAAATTCAGCAATACACGTCATTTGCTTACAACAGCCAGTTTTCTTCACATCAGCCACCGGTAGAAAATGATTCATACAAAAGAGGCCACATGTTGAACAGATTTGTGTAAGCCAGTTATGCTACACTCAAAGTCAGCTAAAACATTCTCACACAAAAAGTTAACTTAAGCTACTATTTCCCACAATAATAACAATAAAAATAAGCTTAACAAACATTTACCCTGCTTCTCAAAACTCATTTTCTGTTATGTTTCCTTTTACCAGTTTTGTTTGGCAGAATACCATGTAATGGATCAGCAAGAGTATGCCTGCCATAATCTGACAGAAGGAAAAAAATGTATATTTTTAGTTTGAAAATGTTTATAGTTTCAATAGGTAGAAAGGATACAGGACAAGGAAGGATAAAATAGCACATGCAGAAATGTCAGCAGTCAATATAAGCCTAGGAGTTTTAGAATGAGAATGATCCTGGCTGAGAACTAAGTTATCAACAAAAGACATACACTGGTAGCAAGAGCCCTCTGAACATATTTCTTCACCTTGGTTCTTGGACTTCCCCGCTAAACTTAGGCTCGAATTTCAAGAAGCTAGAATCAGTGGGCTGTGAGTCTATGGCAAGACCCCAGGACATTACTGCCCACAAGAAAGATGTGTTTGGCTGATAGCTTTCTAGGACATTTCTATTTCCTATCCCACTGAGTCCTGCTCCTCAAGAACAAAAACTCCAGTCGTATACTCCCTCTCTATTAATGAAACATTGAACTCACCCTTTGATATTCTTGATCTGAGAAAGATGGTATCTCTGAAGAGATACCTGAAGAGTCTTCAGGTCTTCCATGTTCTCCATTCATCCTACTGCCCTACAGAAAAGCAGCACCTCCAGTTTCAAGAGCTGACACTAATCACAACATCAGAGAGAAATCCTACTTAGGCTGTTACAAATTCCTCCCTTAACTGGCTCTCATGCTATCACACCCCAAAGCTCGTTTTCACACCATTTATATTTGACTCATTCAAGTAAGCAGTGGCATTATAAAGGCAATTGCAGAGAAGATCAACCAGGTAAGAGACAATCTTCAGCCCTGTGGTTAAAGTTTGTGTGTTATTTAGTTATCTTTTATCATGAATGCTACTTCCACAAAAGACATTTATTTCTGTAATCGTATCAGCTGGTCCTGAGGATGGAGAAGGGAGTATAACAGAGAAAGAGAAACAAGGGAGAGAATAATGAACAAGAACTGTGTGCGTGGCAGTGTGGCAAAAAGAGCTGCTATCAGTATAAAAGCTAAGAGAGAGTAAAAAAAAAAAACAACTGCTGGAAAGACGGCATGGTAGTGATAGTAAGATTGGGAGTTTGGGCTTTGAGGAATGCATGGTTAAAGAAAGTCATGGAGCAAAGCTGCAGCCTGCAGAAACACAGTGAGAAGCAGTGGGTATCATGGATTGCTCAGATGTTTCTTCACCTGAGATCTATTACTGTGTCAGTCAGTGGCAGAGACCAGCTGGACAAAGAATTGGCCTGCGGTGACCATAGCAGATCAGTCGGCTAAAAACAGAGCTGGGTCTCCCATGCGGTTGCTGTCACCACACTGTCACCCCACACCTCAGAAATGGCAACACAGAAACAGTAATCTTACTTCCCAAAATTAATAAAGCAAATGAATCAAGCATGAAAGCTGAAGAAAAATAAAAACTTCTAAGACATTGAATATAATTCATAGAAAGTCAAATGTTTGTGACTTGATTCTCTCTTTGGTGCCCAAACCCACAGCAGTGTGTGCATGTGAGCAGCACAGTCACAAGCTGGAAACATGAACTATAGCATCTGAGCCACTGAAGGCATACAGGAGCCACACAGATGGATGCAGTCCTCTCTGATCTCCACTTTATACAGGAATACTACTGCTCAAGTTCAGTAGCAGCAGAGGGAGTAGCTGTGGAAAAAGTCCATTCGCATTACAAGCAAAGTGACACCCAGTCATCCAGCTGAAGCAGTGCAAGTACACAGGAGAGAGGTTATTAGTGCCTTTGTTATCTGCCCAGCATCGCAGCTGCTTGCTGTTATACTCCACTGCCCTTTTCCAATACATAACGCTACAACATCACCCAAGATAATAAGGTTTTGATCACAGCAAGACGCTCACAACAGCAAACAGTCCAGGCACACAGAGATCAAATAGACCAGCTGCAAACAGAAAAAAAAATAAAAGGAGTGCATATGACTCGCTGGCGTGTGTGGGTATGCATGCTATGCGGGCAGCAGAGGCCGGGATGCGAAGGTCTCCCAGCGACCCCGGCCCTTTGGGCTCATGCCCCAGCACTGCGCCGCATTCCAGCCTCTCCCGGCCTGCTGCCCTGCTTGCACAGAGGGGCAGCCAGACGTGAATGTGAGAAAGCTCTCTCAGGCGATTCCCTTCTGCAGGTTGCTGGGGAGTTGTCTCCCAAAATCATCAGAATTAAAAGGGGTATGTGCAAAAAGGGAGCTGGGATACAGGCTTGCATTTTATTATTATTATTATTATTTTTTACCATGTCTTGGTAGCATGCAAACATAGTGAAAATGCTTTTTCCTGACAACACACTTCTCTGTGCCCCTTCCACTCCACTCTTTATCCCTTCAGATCAAAACCCCTGAGCAATATTTTTCAGGGCCATTTACATCCACTTAGTGGGGTTAATAAGTTGATTTTCCAATGGACATACATCCGTTTGGAGATACAGACACACAGCCAAGTTCAGGTGGCTTCTGTGCCAGTGCAAACTAATTTCCATAAAGGTTGAAGAGAAACGACAGATTCCTACTTCCCTTTTTCTTTCAGAATACATGGTACAGATTTGAATCTGGGTGTGGACCTGAATTCTATGAATCCTTTCTTCTTGCTTATACTTTAAGCCTAGAGGAATTTGGAAAGCAGAGCTGTCTGAACTGTGATATTCACATCCTTCTAAGGAAACAGAGCCAACATATCATGAAGACATTTTACCCATTTTAATATTCAAATTATTACTGTGAAAGAGTGTGTGACACAAGGTGTAGGGGGTATACAACGATGGAGAACGGCATGATATGGAAGAGTCATAAGAATAAACTATGGGATGATCCAGAGACAGCCAGTTACTCTCCACTGCATGAAAGCTGAATGGGTGTTGGATGCTCTATCCCAAGAGCCTGGCCAACCGTGGGCAAATCATTGCGTCTCTTCGTGTCCATCTATGGCCTGGGATAATTCTATGTTTCTGCCTCACAAAGGGTAAAGATAAAGGAGCTGTTTCAGTGTTACACAAACAGAGCTATAGAAACTCCATGGATCTGGAAACATTATAGTCATGGAAAAAAAAGAAAAATAAAAAGAGAAAATACAGTCTCAATGACTTCTATAGGGAATATGCTATTTGGATTTTTTCCTGTAATAGTAATTTCCAACTGGAAATATTTTTGCTGAAGCACAAAGGCCCTGAATGTCAGCAGCTTCCACTTGTCATTTACACCTGTTGCAAATTTAAACTGCTGCAGCCTTACTTTGCTTTCATCTCCATGTATTTTCCACAGGTACACACAGCTCAGCGACCGGTGTGCTTTGAAGCATCAGAAGTAGTGCTCTGCAGGTAGTAGGAGCTTTGCTTTGGTGTGTTGTAGAACTGTATCTGCACAGAGTTTAATGAACTGCCTGTATTGTAAAGGTACCAAGAGTTCATATTCAGACCTCTGGGCAGTTCAGATATCAACTCCAACAGTACACACTCTAACACACAAGAATATTGGTAATTCAAGGCAAAGCCAAACTGTATTCCTCCGTTCTTGCCTGGAAACTTCTTGCTTTTTCTTTCAGAAAGATTCTTTTCAAGCTTTTATGGAAAGAGTACCATTTCATTCTGTCAAAAGTTGAAGAATGAACTTGTAGAAGTGTCCCTTATGGGCCAGTGGTATTGTTGCTATTATGTGATGTTCTGGATACTTTGTGAACTAACTGGGACCTGATCTTATAAAGGTATGGACTCAGAAGGTAATGGACACTTCAGGATTCATTCTTGTGTGTCCTAGAGTGTTGGATATTAAGAGAATGTCTTCTCTAGAAAGAGTGGGGAGACCTTAGAACAGATTATTGATAGAGCTGGTGGTTTCACATTCCTGGAGGTGTCCAAGGTGTGGATGTGGCACTGAGGGACATGGTCAGTGGGTGTGGTGGTGATACGCTGCTGGTTGGACTTAGTGATCTTTAGTGGTCTTCTCCAACCTTAAGGATTCCATGATTCTATGATTCTATGACCAGGACCCTGCCTGATGCACAGCACTGTCATCTGGAATGGAACCCTGTGCTGCTCAGGTGCAAATGGAGACACAGTAAGTGTGTGTGTTTAACCTCAGCAGATTTCCCAGCCAGTAAACCTCGACAGAGAAACCTTCACATTTTGCTCTCTTTAAAACACATGCTTAAACAGACTTGTTGGACACACTAGGACAAAGTTACAGCTAGGAGGCTCCTAAGCCTCAATCAGCAGCATGGCAACAGCCAGTTGCTTTTCCATCCTGAAAGGTGCAGTTTTTCCAACCTGAAAAGCTCTGGAGAAAAGGTACAAACACACACACAGACTTCATACACCTCAAATAAAAGCACATCATCTGAGTTTGCTCAGGTTTAGCGAAGGTCAGAGATTTTCGCACTTAGGTGAGCTGTCATCTGGCTCGGGGCAATTCTCTTTTCTCTCGCATCCTTTGCTGGAACAGCAGGAGTGCTTTACTGGTGTGAAAGACTAAACTGTCCTCAGGCTATAAAGGGCTTGAGTCACAAACCGCTTCCCCCCACTTTCTTATTAATTCAGAGCCTGCCAAGACTGTTCTAATGTGCCCTCACCTGTGGGTTCTGAAAACCTGTTGAGGGCCGAGGCTTAGGCTCAGAGATGTGACAAACAGATGGGATTTACTCAAATCAAAGCAGCTCAGGTCTGCTGGAATCTGTACTCCTACTTTTAAAAACAGGGTTTCAATTCCATGAATTTAAACTTAATGAAGTAATTATCTAAGAACAACTGCATCATTAAGGCAAAGCAGCAAGATCTAAGTGCATGCTCAACAAAGATTGCAAAACAGTCATACCATTAAAAAATGCAGCAACATTGATGTGCATGGGCAGCCTCTATAGGCCAGAAATGAACTACCTACTGTCATTACTGTCCCTATCAGCATACTGACCAAGAATGAGCCCCACATGTCCTCCACTCCAGAGCAGTGCTGTACTTTCTGGCTTCCTAAACACATATTTAGAACCAAAAATATTATTACTGCTTTCAAGCCTCTACTGCTTCATTGACTGTTTTCTGCCTTAGCCCTTTCTATATTTTCTTTTCTTTCTTCTTTTTTCTTTTCTTTTTTGTTGTTGTTGTTGTTGCTGCATTCTCTTTCATTTTTCATTTTGTAAACCTCCCATGCAACAACTATTTTGGCTGTTAATGAAGGGAATTTTTCTGCATCCAGCAAACAGTAAACCATGTCGCTTGGTTACAGCAAAAGCTGAAATTCCACAGATTTCCACAATGTCATATATTGTGTTGGGAGGGAAAGTGTGCTGGGCATTCTCTGACTTTTGTGTGCCGTGTTAGCATTTGTAAACACGTATAAAAGAGAGAGAAAAAAAAAAAAAAAGAGGAAGGAAAGAGGAAGAAAAAAGAAGAGAGGAGAGGAGAGGAGAGGAGAGGAGAGGAGAGGAGAGGAGAGGAGAGG